CCACTGATTCCCCACCTTTCCAAAATGAGCCTTCTGACTTCTTCCATACTCCCAGCATTCCAAAAGTACCTCCTTTGTGGGATGTGCGTCACCATGACCACCAAGAACCCAGTAATTCACCGACACTTGCTTCCTCCTAAGATCTAGGGGCATTTCTCCCATATCCACCTGTAGGGCACCGACTGGAGATGTCTTAAAAGCTCCACAGCACACTCTAAGGGCTTCCGATTGCAGAACATCCAAACGTCTCAACACAGAAGGAGCTGCTGAACCATATGCCACACACGCATAATCAAAGACTGACCTAATTAATGCCTGGTAAAGTCTTTTCAAAGCAGAAGAGCTCGCTCCCCAACCCCTCCCACCTACACACCTCATAACATTAATAACTTTTTTGCATTTGGTTTCAATCCGATCAATATGCTCCCGCCATGTCAGTCTCGAATCAAACACAACACCTAAGTACTTAAAAGAGCTCACTTTCCCAATTACCTTGTCATACAGTGTCAATTTCAAAGTCTCACTCACTTTTCTTTTGGTAAAGAACATCATTTTTCTTTTTTCCACCGAAAACCTGAATCCCCAGTCAAATCCCCACTCAACCACCATATTCACAGCCTCCTGAACCTTGCCCACTAGGTGCTCAATATTTCTTCCTTATTTCCATAACACACCATCATCAGCGAACAAAGACCTCCCAATTCCCTCAGGAACATCAGAAAAACATCATTGATCATTATAACAAAAAGCTATTAGCTAAGGACTAATCGCACCGCCCTGTGCAACCATGCACTGACTAGAAATTGTAGACCCAATTCGCACTTGGATCTTCCTACCAGATAAAAAGTCTTGGATTCAATTGAATGTCCTGCCAACAATACCCAACTTATGCAACTTGAGTAAAAGCCCATCCCTCCACAACATATCATATGCCTTTTCTATGTCAAAAAACACTGCCAAAACAGACCCTTTAGTCGCCTGCGCTTTCCTAACAACATTCTCAAGTCTAACAATAGCATCAGTTGTGTTACGAGCTGTCCTGAAACCACTTTGGTAATTGGCTAAAGCCCCTTTTCTTTCCAGCTTAAAATACAGTCTTGCCATTATCATACGTTCCATTAACTTGCACACATTTGATGTAAGAGCAATTGGTCTGTAGCTATCTGGTTTAGATGGATCCTTCCCGGGTTTTCTTATTGGCACAATAACAGCCTCCTTCCAAGTACTTGGGAGCTCACCCTTAATCCAAACTGTGTTAACCAAACACAGCAGTTTATTAA